GGGGGGGGGGGGGGGGGGGAGAATTGTCGAGCTCTGTCTCATGCAAGTCTTAGTAAGTCCTGGATTACCGATATGAGTGTTGAAAATTTTCATTGAAAAAACTAAACTAGCCAAATGTGGCCAAACCTTTAATTATTTATCATAGAGTCTGTTTCGCTCGAAAGCCCTGATATAAAACGGTACTGGGATAGTGGATCTCACCGCATTTTTTAAAACGAGTATTGCCTGGCAGTTACAAGCACTGAAAGTAAGAAACCGCTTGCAGCGTTAAACCTTTTTTCGCACAACTTCGAAGTTGTTGCAGTATATGAAAACGAAACGATACCATACTTCTCTACATTCGCTAATGCCCCTCCTTTTTTTGAAGCGGTCAGTCACTGCTGCTGTCTTTGCCTTTAGCCCGCCCCAAGCTTAGAAAATACGGGGTTTAAGGCTTTTAAAGTCTAATGGTCTTACATAGCGGAAGTAGCAAACTGTTATTGTACACTTATTGTAATCGAAAATAATCACTTACAATTCCTGTCTATATTTCGTATGTTGTCATCGTTTTGACACTAATTTGATTAAAGTCAAAATGTACCTACACAAGATCATAATAACATCAACGTCTTAGCTAGTGTTGTTTATAAAGAGCAGGCTCCAGTTGTTCAAAAGGTGGATAGCGCTACCCACCGGATAAAGAATGATTCGATTCGCCAGTGACAAGAACGTCCAACGTTTGAACTAGCGGGGCCAGTTCAATGACGTCTTTGCATTAATTTTAAGGTCAAAAACAATAACGAAAAATGTCTTTCATTCGGTCTTTCTACACATTCCTTTTTTTTACATACATTTTGTTTTTGATTACCAAAAATTGACCTGGAGAGGAATACTATTATTTCCAGTTCGTGAATAGGCGTAGAAAAAGCAGGTAATCATAAACTTCAAAAACGTCAAGACCGCGACGACAAAAATTGTGAAACACAGGTCTTCATTTCTACTTATTTATAACCTGGAGAAAATCAGTCACAGCAAAAAATAGTTTGGACACTTTTAGCCAACGCTGTTTTTTACTTCTTGCTTCCCAATGTTGTTTATCGCATTTAATTCACCCAAGCTTGTGCACCAACATTGGAAGGAAACGAAGACAACAAAGAGTCCCAAAAATTTTGACCTAGACTCCGAGGAGGGGGGGGGAGGGACTCCGCGTATGAAAGGGGTGGAGATGGTCGTCGGAAATTTGGAATTAAACCCCTAAACGAGACCAATCTGGGCGTGGCCCTACCTTTTTCCTGTACAGGAACAAGAACCCTTTTATCCTCTCATGGCCGGCGGCAACTGCGGGAAACCAGCTCATACTCATTTGCATCTTAATTAAAAATAACCAAAAAAATAACAATACAGCACATTTGTTACTCGCCGTGTTCTTATGAGCACTGAATTAATTTTCCGCAATCTCGCATCTCGTCTCTCTATGTTTCGTTTCCTTTGTTGTATATCATTCATGCTATAAGTAAACTTGCGTCATCATTGTTTTTCCTTATTATTATTATTATTATTTTTTTTTTCTGTTTTAGGATCCAACAAACCCATTGCTCATATCGAAGCTGCCACTAAGCATGAGGTCCGCTATCCACCCAACACAGGTACTTCAAGTTCTTTGCTCCAATCTTTGTATTTTTAAAATTTATTTTTGTTGAGCCGGAACTTTGAAACAAAAAACTAAAGTACACCTACAAAGATAACGATTTTTTAAAACGCATAAAACAGGGAAAAATTCTTTGAGAAAAAGTATAAAATGAACGATTACTTCTACTGTATCGTTGTAGGGAAACAATACGTCATGCAATCTCATAATTAATCTCAGAAAATCGTGCTAGGATATCGTGGGGTATTAGGTAGGGTTCAACCTCAAGCCCTGTGGGCGAGGTTAGGTAGGGTTAAAAGTAAAGTTTTGAAAATTCTTGGAGAGTGATCACCTTTATATGATCTCTTAAATCACATGCGCCTGTTTATACCTTGCTTCGTAGTGATCAAGGACTGGTCTGTCAACGCTCCCTACAGCTACCTTGGATGCGGCATGAAGTATCAAGACGGAAAATTGACGGTGCCTACCCCCGGACGGTACTATATCTACGCTCAACTTTACTTCCACAACAATGGACGAGTCTTTATCAGGGTTAACGACAAAATCGTGACCATGCTTCAACCACCCGTAAATGATAAAAACTTCCATGGTACCGTGTACGCTGGTGGGGTTTTCAACCTGAATGCTAATGACGTCATCACGTTGACTGCCCACTCTTATCCTGATCCATACGGCCCTAAAATTTACATGGCCTCCTTACACAGTTACTTTGGCGCATTTTTGATTTAATAATCTTGCTGTTTGCGTTAACGTTTGACGACAAATTAGCCTTGTCACCAAGGGATAACTTAGAAATCAATCCATAAATTAAGGGATGTAAATTCAAACGGCTTGCTACTAGCTGACTAATTGAGTTACATTGTTTTGTAGGAGACATAAATTTTGGTCTAATGGTACCTCATTATAGATAAATGTAGTGTCAACCAGGTTTGATGTTTAAATAAAAGAGGATACTGCAAGAAAGGTGTTAATTTATTTTCTCGCTGAATTTATTTCAAGGATGTGAAGGTTTTAAAAACACTTATACAGCACGCATACATCAGTTAAGTTCGAGAACAAGAAAAACAAATCTTAACTTTTTTGTTTCAAATGAAATTGTTAATTTGTAACAACTGAATTGCAACACACATGTCCGAAAATATATATGAATAAATGCATAATTAAGTTTCAAGCTTATGAAAATAAATACTTAGACCTTCCTACGCTTATCTTTTCCGAAAGGTTACTTGCCAGTTAGGATTTAAAAAACGTTTAAAAACTGAAAAAATCCAGCAGTCAGCTCAGTAAAATTCAGTTTGAGCTAACGCTTGTAGCTATGCCAGGGCCCTTTTCATGTAAAAGGTTGACATTTTTCTCATAACAGTTGGTCGTAACAAATCATTATCATAGCAGGGGCGGATCCAGGATTTTTTTAGGAGGGGGTGCACTCGTCTCTTGCTCTACTTCAACACCAATAAACCACATAGTTTTTTTTTTTTGGCAGAATACCAGTTGTATAAGAAAACCGCAGGTCATCTCGGGGTGGGGGGGGTACGCACCCCCCGCACCCTCCCCCTAGATCCGCCCCTGTTATGCAGTCTCATTCTCAGATGGCAGTTTCTGTTGTTACAACTATTGCAAGAGAGGATAAAGAGGGTTTTACAGGGTCAGTAAAGGAAGATGGGCCAGTCGGGCCTTTAGCTCCCTCCCTTGGGGACATAAGCTACCTACGATTCAAAAACCTTTAAATTTGTTCCACGTTTTTATTGGTCAGTAAAGTCAAATCGATAGAAACATAAATTGTGCACCGTCAAGTTCACAAAAACACATAAAAAAGGAGTCCGAAGGATCTCATAAACATTACACTCTATTTACTTTGCTTGAGTTTTATGAACGGTTTAATATTTACGCTTAAACGCCCTTGCCGTGGATGCTGAAATCAATCTTAAAACGTTGTCACGTTTTTACATTTTAATTAAACCTTCAAATCAATTTTTAGGTTCAGCGATAGTGATTTAGCACTTAACTTTGAGAAAACAAGGAAGAAGTCGTATTCAGTCACGCGTTATCCACCAAATACTCCTCTTTCTTAGTTAGGTGTCTAGAATGTCATAAGGCATTAAGAAATTGGAGTCAACATAATGGAAATTAAGGTCGCGGAAGTTAACGTTACACTTAATTAACGGCGCAGAAATTAACGCACCTGAAATTGAGTCGAACTTTGGAGATTCGCGTTAATTTACTGAAGCGTTTATTTCCTATAATAAGGTTTATAGCGGCGCTCCACGCGCGCGCGAGCGTAGCCTCATACCTAAGAAAATGTGGCAATCTACATATCCTTGACTGTGACTTGACTTGGCAGGCCCAAGTCTCTCACCAAGCTGCACGCGCAAACAAGTTGTTAGGTTTCGTTAGGAGGAACTCTAGGTTTATTCACAGTACTTCCGTAAGGCGCACATTATTAGTTCGGGCTAGTTCGTGCTCATCTTGGTTACGCAACCCAGGTCTGGGCGCCCCAAGGCATTGAACTAATTTCTAAACTCGAAAGTATCCAAAGACGTGCCACCAAATTCACTCTTTGCTTGCCTTTTTTAACAAATATCTCTTACAAAGAAATACTAATGTCTGTAAACCTACATCCTGTGTGCTACTGGCGCGAGTTACTAGATCTAGTGTACTTTTACAAGGCTACGCATAATATGATTTACTTAGATCCGTCTGTTGTTCCCTTCGTGCGCGAATGCGCGCGAAGGACCCGTATATCCGTAACGAGCTCTCAATTTTTTGTGCCTAAAACATGCAGGACTTCTACCTTTCAGAAATCTTTTTTCATTAGAAAATCTGGAACCTGCTTATTACTAGACTTGACCTAGATAATGTTACTTTTGAGAACCTTAAATCTGTTCTTTACGGTTATTACTCGCGGGCTCTAGCAATAAACTATGACCCGGACTCTCCAAGGAGCTTCAAAAGTATTTGGATTTGTATGTGATTTAAATTGCTACTTTTATATCCTTTATTTATTGGGTTCGCAGTAATTGGCTTTAGCTGTTGCGGTGTCCCTGCCCAAATATTTAAGTTATTATTAGAGTATTGTTACGTTCTTATTACTAGTGTTTGCATATCTTCAGCGTTTTTTTTTCCTTAGGGCAAAGCTGATAAAAAAATAAAAATCCGAGAGATTTTGGTAATCACGAGACCGTACGCCCAACCGCCCGTCCCGTAAGAACCACAGGCATACCAATGTAAAATAACTCAATCAACAAGTATGGCAAATGGCAAACCCAAATGCAACTCGAGGTTATTTTTGCGGGAAATCGAATAGCCACCCGCGTCTTGTGAAGCAGAGACAGCTCAATAAAGACGAAAGCGGAAAGCGGAAATCGTTTCTGTGTCCGTGTTGTCCAATGTAGTAAGCTTAGTACAATTGTCATGTTCACAAATTTGGAATATAGAGAAAGAGAAAGACAGAGAAAAAGAGAAAGTAGGCGACAGGCCAGCGAAGCTCAACAAGAAAAGGGGCGACAGACAGCTAGAGCAAGAGATGAAAAAAGACATTTTTTGTTGGAAGAACAACATGAAAATTTTGTAGCGGCGGTGATAAACTGAGAAATGCTAGCGGCCACGAAGGTGAAAATGAGCAGCTGTGAAAAAAGAGTGAACAAGAACACATACGACGGTAATTTCCTCTTCCAAACGTGTAACTACGAAGTTTCTGGAAATTTTATTTTGTAGTCGTACAAAACAACGGCAAAGAAATGTACAAAAAAAGCGTACGGCACTGCGGCGTGCAAAGTTGCTTTTTTGCTAATTAGACCTATTGTTGTTTTTTCACCGTTTTCGTTGCCTTAGCCGCTTAGCGTTACGCAATTTTATATTTTGTTTTTGCAAACTATAAATTCCCGAGAGCTTAGTTAGAGCTTAGAGCTTAGTTTTTAGCCCTGGCTAAATCTATATTTTATCTTCTTAAAACTTTATATATCAGCCTTACCATGTTCACTATAATCTGCGATAAGGCTGGTAACGAGTTCTAGACCAAATTATAAAGTGTGGACATTTCAGGTTCTATAACTAATTGATGGTAAATCATGACCATGTCTATCCCATAATTTTTCCTTGCTTAGTCTCCATATTGTAACGTCATACGATAACAAGAGCTTTGACGTCACTTATGGAAGTCGGAGCCCAGTGTCGTTCCTGTTTTTGTCCTGAATTGTGAGGTGTGCCAAAGCTTAAAACCGTCGATCTCTTTTTTCAATTTATCCTGCTAATGGATCAGCATACGCTCTCGATTACTTTATTTACAAATTATAGTTATATCACTCTGGTTGTACTTCCTTTGCAGAGCGCAAACATGTTTTTCTCATCAGGACAGTCTGTTTTACGAAAAACCCCACTGACGGGTTTTGCAATAATGCGACAATAGGGCCCATTTTTGTATCCCCAGCCTAGACAAACGTTACATTTCTTCACAGTTCGCTAACTCCAAACCACACCCAAAGCAGCGAATTTCGCGTACTTTATAGTTACGTTAAACTCTTCCTACAGGAGTTAATACAGAGAGGCGGAAGTCATAGCGGGGCTCCCGCGCGCGAAGCGCGCGTGGGACAGAGCCCCATACTCATGGAATATTGTCAACCTCTTTTCGTTTGGTTGTCACGTGATTGACCGAGCGTACGTACGTACGTACGTAAGTACGCGTCTACAGATTGTACGGGTGGGGTAGGGGAGACTATCAAAAGGAAGGGAGGGGTGTCTCAGGCGTGTCTTGGCAAGTCCACATCTTTAATATAGGATTTTAGGACATTCACACTATGGTCAATTGACAGCTGTCAAAACAGGATAGCCACTGACCAGTATCCCATGACCATATCGCGGGCTCATGTGTCAACTCATCGAGGTGACGTGATTTATTTGGAAGCTGTCCGCTGACCAGTTAATTGTTTAACTAGATCGCGAACAATGTTCAATCTTATACTTTTACTAGTTTAACTGATAATGCACACATATTGGACATCAATGTTTTGATCAATTGACAGCTGTCAAAACAGGGTACCCGCTGACCAGTATCACTTGACCGTATCGCGGGCTCAGGTGTCGACCCATCGAGGTCAAGTATTTTTTGAAGTTATCCGCTGACAAGTTACTAGTTTTCAAGTGATCGCAGGCTCAAGTTCAAGTTTTTTCTAAATTCATATGAAATATGTTGTGTTTATGTGCTACACAATTAAAATTTTGATTGCAAACTGACCTCGGACGCGAAAATTCAGCCAGCTGTTACAGGCAGGGAAGACAGTTGCTTTTGACTTTTCTCACCATGGTCACGCGTTGGTCACGCTCTACGTCCAATTTTTATGCTCTGATTGGTCAAAATTTGACAGGTGAGTTCATGCGGAAAATTTATGCAGCATCTTGAATCTTGTTTACTTTGACAGCTGAAGCTGACAGAGTTTTGTGTCAACTTGTGATGTTTTTAACTGTCTTTTTCCACTGGATGTGCAAAATGAAATTCAGCTGCTATCAGGAGTCCTCTGTTATTCATGGCTAGTTTGTTTATTGGGTTTTTGGTTGAGGAATACGTCGCTTGTCAAAGTCGGAAATCCGATTTCGGATGGCATCGTTTTCGTTTTCACCTTGCTTGATGCGTAAGAGGATTGCAAAGTCTGAAGCGATACTGGCTTTTCTTGATACCTTTCAGGAGCTGCATCTCGAATGGTAAGCCAGAGAAATTATTGTATTTGATGTTTGTT